ATCTTAACATTTGCAAATGCACCACTCCCCCCCCACCCCCCCCACCCCCGGCAAAAATGTTACAAGTCAAATTGCACTATGGCTTGAAGGCTGGGAGAAGGTGGTTCTGTACTTCACTTCAGCAGTTTGTATTAAACACCTGTTAGTCAGGGAAGTCTGTGCAAATGGCTAGATGATGTTAGGTAGTGTCATCATCAATTCGTTCAGTGTAACAGATGAGTTTTACCAGCCAGTGTGCATGGCCTCCATCCAAGGAGCTCACCTAGCACCCATCCATTTGTGAAGGTGTCTGTAGACCTGATTGAGATTGACACCTACAGTCAGGTGACTTTGGGGGAAGGGACAACCATGAGTGAGGTGTTATCCCCCTGACTGAGTCGTTAACTGCCAATAGAGGTTCTTGGAAGGGATTCCCCTTCAGACCAACTTATATTAGCACCCAGAGTTCCAGCCTGACACATGGCCTGTAGGTTCTGTGCTCAGGGGGTCCCAAGTCACATGATCTCAACCCTTAAAACAGACTTTTTCATACATACATAGATACATAGGTAGATAACTACACAGCTGTCTGTTTGGGGGTACTCCAGAGATGTGTCTGTTTGGGGGTACTCCAGAGATGGAGAAGTGATAAGCTGGATATGTACTACAGAAGGAGGTTAATGAACCATTGCACCTTCTGAAACTCTTTCCATCCATGACCTCCTTTCTCCTGAGAAAGTCTGGCACAATCCCAGACTTATAAGCAAATAAAACAGATATGCTTTCCAAACATCAGTTTATAAGAAATTAAAAAGTGACTCATATAGCAAGCAGGGGGAAAAACTGTTGTTTTCAACAAAAATCTCAGTCATTCAATTTTACACAAGAAGACGTGGGAGCCAGATGCTGGGGTGGAAACCTTCTAGCTCAGAGAAGCCATTTCCTCTTCAGAAGACATCACAGAAAGACAGCCTGCTCCTACGTCATCTCAATCAAAACCCCTTAAACTCAATGTCCCTCCCTTCTACTTCTGGGCATCTCTTTATCCATGTTCCTGTCCTCCAAAAACTGCTAAAGCAACCTGTTAAGTCCTTGAGTAGCCTGAATTGACACGCCTGCCCTCCAGAGGGCGCATGAGCCCCACAGACTGGGCTCCGTGTCTGTATAACAAGCTGAACTTAGGTAATGTTCCCACTGCCAGCCCAGACTTCTTCTGATGTTTGATCTGTTTGTAAGTGGCATGGGTAACTGCCAGGAAAATGAGCAAGCCCCAACACAACCTCAGAGTCAGTCAGCCTGGGCTGTGGAAAGAGCCCAGCCACGTGGTAAGGAAGCAGCTGTCACTACACTGCACACGGTGAGCCTGTGGCTCAGAGAAGCACAGACCCTCCCTCACAGTCACACAGACTTCAGCTACCCTGGCACGGCTCACAAAGGTACAGCTGTCCCCTGATGAGAGAGAATACACGGACCGGACCATCAGGCCAGAGGGCAGGGGGCCCTGGTACAAGCAGGTGAAACTTGTGGTTAAGTACACAAAGCACAGATGGCAGTGAGGAGCAGTGGCCACACCTCAGCATTATGTCACACACACACACACACACACACACACACACACACACACACACACACCACATTTGGTTTAACCCTTTCACCACCAATTCCAGCCATGTCAATGCACAGCACACCCAAGCTTGGTGGACTAAAGCAACAGCCATTGAATTGTGCTGCCCTCACGGCTTCTGCAGGCCAGGAGTTAGGAGTATGATTGTCAGATGGCTTCTCTCTGCTCTGTGCTGTCAAAGCTCAGCTTGGAGGAATCGCAAGGGGGTGACCCCAAGGCAGTCTTCCTGGAAGGTAGGGTTTCACACAGCTGTCAGGCAGAGGTATGCACATGGCTGACCCATGATTCTGTCTGGGCTACCTCAAAGCCTGGTGGCGGGGTTCCAAACATGAGAGCTCAACTGAGAAAGGGCAGCCTTGGCTGCATCGCCATGATCCAGCCTCCCAAGTGCAGAACCTGTACACTGAGGATGTGGTTCAGCGGTAGGGCGTTTGCCTCAAGTTCAGAGAACTGCCTGTTGGGGGAAGAAATTACAAAGCTTCTCCAAGGTTCAAGAGGAGGAGATAGACACTGCACCCCCACAGCGTGAGAGCCAAAGTCACTCGGGAAGAAGACAGAGGCTGGAGATGGTGTTGGGGAAACAAATTCCCATAGCAACTCCAACTTAAATTGACCACTTGTGAGTACAAAGAGGCCCAGGGGATTACGGGTGTCCTGAAAACCATCAAACACAGTTAGGTATCACTCTGGAAAATCCAGGGGAAAAAAAGGACTAGTACTTAAACAACCACAGCACAGCACCCGTGGAAAGAATAAGCACATAGACTAGTCCCTGACTTTCTATAGGTCATCAAGAGCCTTCAAGCCCCACAGACAACTAGATGCTTTTTACTTTATCAACAAAATTGTGAAGCTATAGCTGAATGAAAATATTACATGATTTACACTTTGTAAAAGTTTCTAAAATGAATAATAACAAATTGATGGCAGAAACTGTACAATTAGGCCCCGCAGTCTGTGAACTAGGCGGGTCTCACTTAGCCCAGACTCAAGTCCATTCTTTGCTTCATGAAGACCTCAAGCAAACTGCAAATCACAGACCAGAGGTGAGAATGAAATCTAGTCCTTTCATAATCGCAACAGAAACATAAATGCAATTCTGAAAAGAAAAAAAATGCAAAATTCAAACTATGAGCATCCTGAGAAATATTTAGACCAGGCTTCTGTGTACATGTGTGGTGTCTACATTTCTGTGAACATATTGATATTGCATATGTAGGCCAGAGGAGGACATTAGATGTTGTCCTCTATTGCTGTCCACTTATTCCCTGAGACTGGGGCACTCATTCATTGAACTGAAAACTCCACGTTTTACCTAAGCTGGCTGGCTGGAGAACTCTGAAGACCCACCTGCTCCCCGACTGCTGAGGCTCCTGTCATCTGTGGCCACACCTCAATTTTACATGAGTAGGGAGGCCTCAAACTCAGGCCCTCAGCTTGCACAGCAAGCATTCTAACCCAACAAACTCACCCCGGACCTAATTTGCAGTTTACTTTACTTTGGTGCATTTGGAGTCTGACTCAGCAAGCATACGCTAAGGGTAGGAGAGAGGCTGACAAGGCTGTGCACTCTACCCTCTGGTGGCCTGAGGGTTAGTGAGAGAAGGAGGCATTGTCGCCACTTGTGGAAATGCTAGTTTCCATCTCGCCCAACGGGCTGGGCCTCAGCCATATTGCTAAGGGCTACAGTCCCTGGGTTAGAGTTGGCTCTACAGTGAGACCTGCTTCATCCCCCTGGCCCTTGGGTCTTTCGTCTTTTCCCTAGCCAGCAAAGCAGGAAGCTGCTAAGCATGACCCTCAACTACTGACCAATGGCCTTATTCAACAGCCTACTCCACACTCTTGTCCTTCTTGAGAAGTCTTCATGGAGTTTGATGGTCTGACTGCCTATCTGCCACAGGCTTTCTTGGGGCCACCAAGCTCTCAAATCATGACACAGAGACTTATTATTAGTTATGGATGCTCAGCCTTAGCTTATGCTTGACCCACTAGCTCTTGTAACCTAACCTGTTTCTCTTCATCTATATTTTGCCTCGGGGTTTTTTACCTTTCTTTCATTCTGCATGTCCTACTCCAGGTCTGGCTGGCCGGCCCCAGGTGTTTCCCTTTTTTCTCCCTCATTCTCTCCTCTCTTGGGCCTAGATTCCTTCTCCTACTTATTCTTTCTGCCTACCAGTCCCCCTCTATCCCCTTACTAGCTATTGGCCATTCAACTTTTTATTAGAGCAATCAGATGCCTTGGTAGGCAAAGCAACACATCTTTGCAACAAATGCAACTTAAGAAAATGTAAGAAATCTTTACATAGTTAAAAAAATAACAGCGTAAATAAACACATTGTTACATAGTTCAACAAGTGCAGCATAAACAAATGTAACACATCTTTTAAAGTTATATCCCACAGCATCTATTACACAAGCATCGTATCCCTACAAACAATGCAAGCAGCATATCACAAACTCTTTTCAAAGGGTCCTGCCTGCCTACCACTGGGAAGGAAGAGTGTTGTCCCTGGGAATCACGGAAGCCTTGGAGGGCATGGGGCTGTTAATACCACTGGTGCCAGGCAGCTCCCAGATTCAGATTCACTGGCATCTGCAGGGCAGAGACTCTGGGACACATCTATCTATCTGTCTTCTGGCTGCTGACACTGAGTTTTGATTCTTGGAATGGGATCCAAAGTTCCAACATTCTTTGACACCCTGAGCTTGACCTGGCCAGCTGTGAGCACTAGGCATCGCTGTCCTAGGTGGCTGGCCCTCTTGCTTCAAACAGGCTTAAGGTCATTGGATGGTTGGACCAGGACTTTCCCCTTGCTTTTCTATCCTTACCTCCAAATCCCAGGACCCACATCCTCCCCCACTCCCTCGAGTGTGCCACAGGCTCCTAGGTACACTGACCAGTTAGGTGTCTCTACACTACTGTGAAAATATTTATCTTAGGAAGACTGGCATTTGGAGATAGTCACTAGATCCCCCACCTTCCAGGAGGAGGTGAAACTCCTGGAAACTCCCTGCCAACTCTGAGTCTTCCTGTCCTCTGTTCTTTGCATGCATGGTGTGTGTCCCTAGGTTGTCTGATTGGTTCCTTGATAAGGTTTATCTCACGAAGACCTAGAGACTTACTCAGTGTGGTCCGGGTCTACTAGTTCCTCCCACCTACCCAGAGTCAGGCTGATGGAGTCAAAACATACATGTGGCACAGCGGGATCCCGAGTGGCAGAAAGGGGAACTTCCTTGCTGGAGTCACCAGCCTCCTTCATGACAACAGACAAACTGGCCCTCTGACCAGCACCTGCAGGGTCTCAGTTCCAGCTTCAGGCCCAGAACACAAAAATCCAGCTCGGGTCCTGCTGACCTCCTCATCTGGGACAGGTGCCGGGATCGAGGTAACTAACTCATGGTGCAGGGCGGGCGAGGCCATCTAGACCTCTCTGGCGAGCTCCCACTGTCCAGGTTTCTGAAGCAGGAAAGTTCAGAGAGCAGCGGTGGGGAGCGTAGGGCGGCGACGAGCAAAGCCCCGCCCCGCCGCTCGCAGGGCGGCCCTGCCTCTCGGTCCCCGCGTGTCCCCCGCCCTCCCAGAGGCGCGCGTTTACCTGCTGGCAGGCAGAGGGAGGCGGGGCGGGAGCGGGGTGCACGCCCGTCCCCGGAGCAGCCGCTGTCAGTCACCGCCGCTGAGCGCCAGCGAGGACGAGCCTGTGGCCCAGGCGGCCGGGTCTCGCGAACCCGAAACGCAGAGCCCACGGCCCAGCAACGCCGAGCCCGACGTCAGGCCCCTCCTGCGGGTCCCGGGCGCCCATTGGCCTCCAAGCCGCAGGCAGCACGGGTGAGTGATCGTTATCAGGGACGCGCAGGGCGGCCCCGGAGCCTTTGTCTCCGCGCCCCTAAGAGCGGGAGACCCCAGCAGCGAGCCTGACTCCCAGAGAGGCGAGGGAAGGGAGCTCGGTGCCGGCACCAGAACTGTGGTTCCTCCCCAGGCCAGGAGCGCCGGGGTCACACCTGATCAGAGAGCGGGGCAGGTGGCCCCGCAGGTAGCAGCCGAGCGACCTCCTGGACCGAAACCACGTTGGCAGCCGGGATCTTTCTTGGGAAGTGGCGGACGCGGGTGTAGACTCAGGTCCACAGCGGAGGGACTGGAAGCCTGAGGGATATCCCGGAGTGGTCTGCAGCCAGGCCTGGGGACCCCGGGGTCGCTGAAACTTGAGCGGCCTAAACATGGTGAGGGCAGGAGTTTAGGGGCGGGAGGGGACCTCGGTCTGGAGAGGCGGCCTTCAGCGTGCGGGGAGGGGTCCTGGTGGGCTCGGAGGCCACACCAGGGGTCCATCTCAGCCTGCCGCGTCTGCTACCCACACACCTGCTGCCCCTAGTGCGATCCCGGCCCTGCCCTTCCCCACAAGGAGAAGCAGTTCCTCTTTGAGCGGAGGGCGGCGACAGGCACTTGTCCAGGCTTCCGCCTTCTGGGGCCTCTCTCGGGCTCCTAGGCCCTTTCGGACTCACGCAGACCCCCACGCACCCTGCCCACCTGCTGGCCCTGGCGCTGTGACCAGCCTGGCCCCGTCTTCCCGCTGTGACTTGATCTCTTGGCCCTGCTGAAGCGCCGGGTACCCAGTAGCCCCCGGGGGACAGTCTTCGTGGTCATGTTCAGCTTTAGGTGCTGTAAACTCTTCTGGTTTTTAGGGGATGTGCGTACCCTGCTTGGGATTTTGAGGTGTTCCTCTAGTTCCCCGATTTGGGAGGTGGGGCGAGGCTTGGACAAGGATTTGCGCTGTCTGAGGAATCAGTTCTGACTCCTTAAGGCTTGCCAGCAGGACAGCTGCTAAGCCACACAATGCACCAGCACCAGCATGGATCTGTGCAGTTGGGGACAGTCTTGGAGCAGAGTGTGAGAGCCTGTAGGGGTGAGAGATGCCAGACATCAGGCAGGCATCGCCTCTGCCTGGGCGGGGGGGGGGCACAACTAGAAGAACTTCTTTAGAAGAAGGAAACCTTGTGGGGGGGGGGGGAGCGGTGCGGTCTCATTGAAGACCCGTGGCTTTGGAGAGTATGCCTAGATAAGCCCAAAGGACCACTCACCCGCTACCCATGGCTCTCCCCCTGGCTGGCACCTCTGGGATAGGTGTGGGCACCTGTGTTAGAGGATGGGATTCTGGGAAGAGGCTATCCTGGGCCAGAGTGTGGGATAACCACGGAGCAGGAGCACCGTTTCCCAGATTGGGTAGACAATTCTTAAATTCTCATTGGGAAACCTGGGAGAGAAAAATACAATTTAAAATAATCTTGACTGTGAGATGCAACTCCTAAGAACTGTCCTGGAACGCCTACTTTTATAAACTTGAGATTAAAAAAAAATAATGTGTTCAAATTCACTTTTAATGCCTGTCTAGATATGGAGTGTTGGTTCTTGGTAAAAATGGTATGTGTGATTTAAAAAAAAAAAAAAAAAAAGATGTGTGAATACGGAAAAAGAACACAGCCCCATCTTTCAAGGATGTTCCAATTTAGCCTGGATTTTGGAGTGCCAGAGCTTATTTTGTTTGACTCTTGGTTTCTTCTTCAGGCTCTTTATGCTTCAGTGTTTAGATTTTATTTGTTTGTTTGTTTATTTATTTATGTGTGGTGGTGAGGTTAACTTGCAAGGGGTCAGCTCTCGCCTTCCAATCACCTGGGTTCCAGGGATCAAACTTGGGTCATCAGCCCTGGTGATAAGTGCTTTCTAACACCGAGTCATCTCCCCAGACCCTCCCTAGGTTCTTTCCAATGCCAGCAGCTTCCCTTGCCTTCCCAATAGCAGGTGGCATTGGCTGAGTACTGACCAACACCAGGCTTGCTGCCGGAAACTGCTAACTACTTTATAAGTGTTAACATTTAAGTTTGAACTGTGGTGGGAGAGCTTCACTCCCCACCATACCCCATTCGTTGCCTCTCAGGGCACAGAGAGAGGAAGCAGGTGCCTCTGCAAGATTGCCACCTGGCCCCATTTGGCTCCTCTTGAAGTTGCCCCCTTCCTTTTGCTTAGATTTCCACCACTAGTGGCTGGCGAGACTAGCCGGGGTCGGAGATTAAAGACTCTCCCCTGCCCTTGTAGAGGCCCCTGGTTCAGTTCCCGGCACCCACTTAGTTGGCTCACTGCTGCTTGTAACTCCAGGTCCAGCACAGTCTTCAGAACTCTGAGCATACCAGCTTTTATTTACAGTATGCACATACCCCTGCCCAGATATATGGATGGCCAAAAGTAAACTTTTAAGGCCACTACTAGCGAGTAATCATTCCTATTAAAACATCCGGTTTCCATCCCCCAGGTGGCCTGGCCATAGAGACACCCATCTTTTTTTAGAAATACATTGCAAACATAATATACTTCTTGATTCACAATGTCTAACATATTTACCATTGGACACTATAGACCCAATGCTACCCTGGTGCTATAGCATAATGGTTAGACATTAATTATCCCATAAGAAGGCAGTCACTTTTTTTTATTATTTTACATGTCGATCCCAGTTCCCTCTTCATCCCTCCCTCTCTCCCTCCTTCCCATGCCCCCACCACCACCCTCCCATCCCATCCCCCCTCCACTCCACAGGGAAGGTGATGCCTTCCAGGAGGGTCAAAAAATCCTCAAGTCATTTGGAGTAGGGCCTAGGCCCTCCCTCATGTCTCTATGCTAAGGGAGTATCCCTCCATGGGGAATGTGCTACCAAAGTCCTTTTGAGCACCAGGAATACCTCCTGGTTCCACTATCTGAGGTCCCTTAGACTGCTCAGTCCTTCTAGCAGAGGCCCAAATTCAGGGGGTCTGAGTCAGTTCCATGATGGATTCCCAGCTATCAGTCTGGGGGGCCCATTAGCTCCTCCTTGTTCAGGTCAGCTATCTCTGTGGGTTTCTGACACCTGGTCTTGTCCTCTCTCTCTGCATCTGGATTATAGTTCGGCTCAGTGTTTAGCTATGGGTGTTTGCTTCTGTTTCCATCAGCTACTAGATGAGGGCTCTGTGATGAATCTCTTAGATTCCTTCTTGTATCCTAGTTTCTCTGGCCATGTGAATTATAGGCTAGTGATCCTTTTCTCTATGTAGAGACACCCATCTTAGTTGGTATCCTTTCCTTAACTTCCTTTGCTGTTGATAATGAAAAAAAAAAAGCAAGTGTCCCTGTGACCCAGCATCACAATAAGCCAGGGCTTGCAAAGACAGGTTCTTACCGGTCGGTCTCCAGACCTCACTAAACAGTCTGGGAGGCCCTATGCTGCAAGGAAGAGGTAACACATCAGATGTCCCTGTACCTCCTAAGCAGAACCAAGAAGTGCTAGAACATTCTTCCAGGAAGGCTTTAACTCAGTTGAAATCTGTGGTGGGCTGACTTTAGCCAAGAAACAAAGTCTCTAGGAGACACTTGTTAGCGATCAGTAGGAGATGCTCATTGGCGATTCTGAAGCTACCAGGAGCCTCCACTCAGAAGGTGTAATGATGAAAGACATGGCACTATGACTCTGAAAGTTCTTTTCTTCCGGCCTTTGTGAGCTCTAGGGGTGGGAAGAAAGGGCAGGGGAGTGGGTGGTTGGGATGTAGGACACTTGCTTAGCATGCCCAAGGCCCTGAGTTCCATCCCCAGCATCACATGAAATATGTCGCTCTCTACTTGGGAGAGGAAGGCAGGAAGATAAAAAATTCAAGGTCAGCCTCTGCCATATAGAGAGTTTCAGGCCAGCTGAACAACATGAGACATGAAACACTGTCTCAAAAAAAAAAGTAGGAAGTAGGAAGAATGGAGTTATGTCAGTCTCTGGGACATAAGGAGTTAAATGGTGTGACTGAAACTTTAAAAAGTGAACCAGAAATAGATTAATAAATAAGATATGAAAAGAATTTCAGACCACAGCTAATCAGTGAAAAAAAATTAAAGCAATGATAAGATATTGTTTCACATTCCTTATGCCAGCGAGAATTCTCGAATCCTGGCTGTGCCAAGGACGAAGAGGTGGGGGAAGAACTCACTCTATTGAGTGGAGGTGCTAACAAGAAATAAACATTCTACCTGAAGGATAGATATCCATAACATCCCTCCCCTATCCACAAACCCAACCTACCGCCTAACCCCAATCCAACCTTCAAGGGAACTTCTGGGATGACGCATATGACGCATATGTTCACAGAAACAGTCTGCTAAGTTTCTGTTTGGGGATGATAGCAGCCTTATTGCAACTACAAGATATCATGTACAGAGTGTGGGGGGGGAGGCGGGGGGTACCTGGGTGTGACTGCAGCACTCAGGAAGACAGTGAGTGGCCAGCCTGGGCTATATAGTGAGACTCTGTCAGGAGAAGGGGAAAGGGGAGAGGAAGGAAGCAAGGAGGGAAGGGGGAGGGGGGAGGGAGGGAGCGAAGGAAGGGCAAAGAGAAACAATAACACAGAGCTCACTCACACACACATGTCCTTCACCTAGTCTCCCCAATAACACCTTCCAAACTACAACACAGCATTGTAACCAGGAATTTAACCGTAATACCAACCATTAACCTTGACCAGATTACACACTTCACCAGTATCCACGACGACATCCCTATGCCTGTCTCTGTGCATCTAGGTGTGTCCTTAAGCTTATCTGTGTGTGTGTGTCTAGAGTTATGTGATGCCACCTTGTAGAATCACCTGACTGCTAACACAATCAAGGATGAGCCACATTGCCATCTCAGCATGCCTCATGCTATGCTTCAAAGCTGTAGCCAACTTCCTCCATTTCCCTCCCTGGGTGCAGGCCACCCGCATTCTGTTCCTCAGTCTCTCTGGTGTTCTCTTCTCCAGGTAAACGCATCAGATGTGGCACCTCCTGTGCACGGCGTTTTCCCTCGGTTCAGGTTCAAGTTCTGCCATCCCACAGGTGGCTGAGTGCACACGCTGCAGCTTGTTCTGTGCTGTTGC